CCGCCCGCGGCCCTGCGCTGGCAGCCCGGCGAGTCAGCGAACCCAAGAGGGGTGCAGCCATGGAGTTTTCTTTGTGCTCCTCTCTTTTAATATTAGAGCACATATTGAAACGATAAACACAATGAAAAGCACAAAATATTTCATCGGTGTGGTAACTGTAGATTTCCTTTATTCTGAAGAAATACCGAGTTTTGAACAGTGCGCAGAGGCGGCAACTTCTGCTTTGGACGCCGCTCTCTCTTTAAAGACCGCATTGTTACAGTTTCAATCTAAAGACAATTTTTAAAAAGCATTAGATGTCAGAAAAAGGGGGAAAAAAATCTTACCGTCGAAAGACTGCTGCAGGTTCCAGCTCAGTCTGAAACTGCAGGGAAAAGTGGAGCAGCTGCTGAACAAAAGTTTTAGATTTTTTTTTTTTAGAAAGTCTGCAAAACTAATTTCCCACAAAATAGGACTCAATTTCCGTTTAAGAAACTAGCTCTTGCAAATCTCATACAATTCCTGATTTTTTCCAATAGCAATTGAAATTCATTTTCTCTTTCGCACGTGGACCCAAGAATTTAGACTTAAATTGCAGGAGTGCAATGGTTTTCCCTTTTTCTTTTTCTTTTTTTTTTTTTTTAAATTTTGATTTGGGGGAGGAGGAGGAAGGGCTAAGGAACAAAACGTTTGCGCAGCGGGCACCTCGTTTGGGCAGTGATCAATAAATGCGTTGTCCTTATTTAAACCAGTTACCAGCCGCCTTCGTGGCTACTGTTAACTCCGCTACACGCATGTTACAAACAAAAAAAAAAAAAAAAAAGGAAAAAAAGAGCCAAGCCCAGGCTCTAGGCTGTCCCCCTTGAGCCACTGAAGACGGCAACGAAGACGACGAAGACACGGGGGATAAAAATTAGGCGAGTGCTTGTTTCGAAGGGGCAGGGGGCAAGGAGGGAAACTTGTCTTTCTCCGGCCAGATTGGGTCGCCCGGTGAGCGCCGGTGGCTTCGCCGGCCGCCTGGTGCTGGGGGACAGCGGGAGGTGCCTGCGGGGGCCGGGGTCGCGCTGC